CCACATCTGCTCCCTATTAAGATCAAAGACTCTCCTGGAAAAAAACATCTACATCTGCCTGGGCGTCCAGCACAGAGACAGTGAATTCAGGGACAGAGTCACAGGTAAAGTTGCAGACTTTGCAGTAACACCAGCCAGCTCACACCACACAGGTCTTTACCACTCCAGTCTTTGTAACAGCACCTCCTTCGCCCTCTACCGAATCCATCCCATGCATGACACTCCCCATCCCACCCATATGGAGGTGCCATTACTCAAACACAGCTCTCTACTGCTCCATGCACTCAACAGCACAAGCCTGTTCCCTGCAAAGGAGAGCCTGAGCAGCCTGCTATGTCCTGCTGCATAAAGGCTACGTTAGCTGGAGCATGATCCCAGACAGCACCCTGCGTACACACACAGTTGTATGTGTGTGGAGAAAAGCCCCTAGCCTGTCACCACAAAACAGACCATCTCCACTGCCCCTGCTCATCCACACACAGCAACATCAACTATTTACAGGCCAACTCACACCCCTCCCTTTGCAGCCTTCCTCGGTACCACCACAGACAGTGCCCTCACGCAGTGTCCTTTGTACACAATGTCTGGGCAAAACAAAAACAGTCAGCGAGAAATGCGGTCACAGGAGAGCAGAGAAATTCCCACTGTGCAATGGCATCACCAGCTCCAAACTTTTGACACATCAAGATGAAAATTTAGCTATAGGAAAAAACATGCTTTACTAGCCCAGACATTCTAGGAGTCAGAAAAGCAGAGAAGGATTTGATCCACTGCTTGGAGATACAGCGACACAGGGTTGCTTTTAACAGTGAGGAGGTCATGCTACTTGAGAAAGAAACATGTCCATCCTGGCTGGCCAGGATATCTCTGCACACATCCTTGGGCTCATGCTGAGAGGCAGGAGTAATGTACGTGGGACATCCCAAATGTGTGGTACAGTAAACGTTGTTGGGTTTCCACACAAGGAAACCTGGACACAGGTAAAAATTGTGAAATGGTCTTCAAAGGAAGCCCCAAGAACAAGAAAGTATTAGTGACCAGTAATTTAGGATGCAGCTACAAGTGCTCATTGTGCCAGGATGGGCTGCAGCACAGGGCTGGGGGACAATGCTCCCCTCACAGTCCACAGGTAGAGGAGTGCTGTTACCACTCTCACACCTCAAGGGGGTCAGCCCATGGGATACAGCAACAGGAGGCAGAAGTCCCTACGGCATGACCTGCAAAGTGTCAGCAGAGCCAGGGACAGCCCCAGCTCAGCTGAGGGCAGCCTGGCAGGACCAAAGGAGTTCACACCACCAAAGACCCTTTAGAAAGCTGAGAAATGCTGGTTACCCTCTCCAGCACAGCAGAGCGAACAGGTGCTAAGCATGGACACTGCCTCACATGTACCTTGTAAAAAGCTTCTTCAAACACCAGCAGAGGCCCTGAAAAGCCAATGACCAGGAGCGGCTGGGCTCCGAGCAGGGAGAAGAGGATCCCTAAAACCGAGGTGGAGATTATCAGCTCGGAGACCCCCATGAGACCCTCAGTTTTCTCTCCTGGGAAAGAGAACAACATATGAGTGTTATAGCCTGGACACAGGCACCGTCACTGCAGGCAGGCAGGCTGCAGACTCAGCTCCAGATGGAGGAGGCAGGTCCCCGTCCCATCAGTCAGAGGTCCCCTGCGTTGGGTACGGAGTGCAGAGGGAGCCCAGGGAGCCAAGGCTGGAGAGGGCGAGTGGCAGGGACGGGACAAGGCAGCAGCTGAGGCGCAGCGCCACCGCTCTGCCTGAGCAAGCAGCACCGAAGCCCACCCCGGCACAGCATCACACAGACACAGCCAGTGTCCCAGCGTGCAAAGAGCAGACCAGAAAGCAGGCCCATTACCTAGGAGTCCCCCGAAGGTGATGGCAGGAGAGAGAGCAGCAAAGTAGATGAAGAGAACGGCCGCGAGACACTGGCTGTGCAAGGCGTCTCTGATGTCACTGAGGTATTTGGGGTACCTGCGCTTTATGTCCCGAACCAGACCTCCAAAAAATATCCCGGTCCGCTTCAAAGGGTCGTCCTCAGCTTCCTCCTCTTCTTCCTCAGCTTTCACTTCACACAGCTCTGGAGATGCACAGAGGGCAGGGCTTGAGCAGGACAACACAGGTCTGCGCTTGGGCTGTCCCACTCCCCCATACCCCATGGCGACCTTCCTCCAGCCACGTTAACCTGGTGGGTCCCCTGAAACTGCACATCCCACTGCCTCCAGCTGCCAGAGCTGCCCACAGCCAGTCTCCTGCCTCCCCTTACTCCCCTCCCCTCTGCCCACTGCAGGAGCCAGGCCCAGCTCACCCCTCTGCCAGGCTCTGTGAGGGGAGGGCTCACTGGGGCACGCAGGGCACTACGCACAAATTCTTTTGCCCAAATGTGAGTGGAGAGACCTTTGGCTTCCTGGGCAGTCCCCTCCTTCATGGACTTCTGTTCCCTCTCCTTCCTCTTCCTCAGCAACAACTTCTGGAAGGTGGCAATGGATTTGAGCAAGTCTTTCCCCTCCACCTCTGATGGGGGGATGACAATGCTGCAGTCCAAGAACTCATTGATTGCGTTGAGGAGGTCTTGACGGTCATCTGCCATGTATGCAGCCTCATGGAAGTGCTGGGAGGGGCAGGTAAAAAGAAAGAGAGAGAAGGCTCAGACCAAGACTGCACCCAGCTATCTACAGCCTGGAAACACAACACTTGCTGTGACCATACAGTAACATCCCACTCCCTCAACCCACTACTTGTCTCACTATTGCCACTCTATGACCCATGCTCCTGCAGACCTCCTGTCCAACTATCCAATGTCCCACTTAATCCCATGTCTGTCCTCCCTACCCCATCCACCCTTTCCAGTGACCTCCTTGCTCCTGCTTTTCTCCCCCAGGACCCGCTGCTCTTGCCCAAGATCTTGCTCCTGCAGCATCTCTGCCAGCTGCATGCTCCACCAGACCACAGGGCGGTCCCTCATGGGACTTCTCCACCAAACAAAATCAGATCTGTACTTCCCAGCTAGCCTGGTGCCTCTCTTTCCCTAGGCTAGATGCTACACCTGGTCAACCTGTGCCTCTGTTCACACCAGACCACTGTGGCTGCGTCAGGCCAAGATCCTTCTCCTTACAAGCTCTGCACACCATTGCTCAGTCCTGCAGGGTTCTCATTCAGATCCCCGCTGAGAGGTGTACCCAAAGCCAGGCACCACAGAGATGAAAGACCTTCCCTGTCTCTGCAGCTCAAAATTAGGACTCTGCAACAAAACAATGTCCTCCTAGTCTGGTCTTGGGTTTGTTTTGAGGGAGAAGCTGTTGGAGCCCTAAAGCACCGCAGATAAAGCACAAGAATCGGGACCTGAGCAGGGAGCATAAGAGACTCTTGGGAGTCTCCACACGGGAGAGGGAGGGAAAATAGGAGCCTACAGCATGAGGGAAGTCATGTAAAGGAAACCAGGCAGAAAAGGGGAGATACTCTTGACAGCAAGGGCAAGATGACAAGGAAGGACTCCAAGGAGACCATGAAGGGACCACACTACTGCAGATAGAAGGGTAGGTGCTGGTAAGTGGTAGAAGTGCTGCATTGCCTCTGGAACATGCCTGCAGAGAAAGCACTGAAGGAAGATGAACAAGTGAACAGCCTGTAAAGCAGGTAGGGGACAGCTAAGGTCCCTGCAGCACACAGACTCCCTGGAGCCACAGCTTCAAACTGTAAATGATACCATACCCTCTCCACGGCGCCAGCCACTGTGTAACCTGGCTATGGTCAGCCCTGGCTGCAGCAGCTGGCTCCCCTCTTCAGCAACAGAGGAGCAGAGGCTCAGAAGAGCAAGACCAGCCCACAAACACAGCGCTGAAGCTGCAGTACGGCACGTCACCTCTTCTGGCTCAAAACATGGCCTCAGGGATCTTCCAGCTGGGAGCCCTTGTTGTCCACAATACACCTGCTCTAAGTGGACTTTTTACCCCTCATTTCAGGGACAGCTATGCACTGGTGGCAGGATAGGCAGGTTTGTTACTCAGTTGTAGTTACATGGCACCAGCCAGGAGGACCCTGTGAACCTCTGATTCTCCTCTCCTGGATGTATGCAGCAGATGCTCAGATTTTCTTTTCTTTGCCTTCAATTCCTTACCAGGATAATGAATTTCACTTTCCTGCCATCTAGCCAGATGGGGGACTTCTATCACTGCACATGCTTGGCAGAAAAAACTTTCTGCCTCCTCATCTCTTCCGCTGCACAGATGTGATCCTTTGCATGGACACCACAGCCATGGGACTCAGCAAGAAAGCTTCATCCAAACTCCTGACATACAGTCCCCAGGCATTGCTTGGTGTTCTTATCAGCATGCCCTGGGCCAGTCATCGTGGTCACAGGCACTGCTCAGCCTCCCCTCATCTCTGTTTGTGAAACATGAACTGAACACAACTCCTCTAATCTTGGGCAGCCCTTTGCTCCTGCTTTTATATACAGCCCCTTTCTTCATCCAGCCTAGCACTCTCTGTCCCAGCCAAGGATCTGTCCTACTCTTCCTTCCGTACTGGAGCATCCCACCTCGGTCAAGCCAGCCATTAAAAATCCCAGGTGCTCACACCTTCCTGCCTCACCTTAACCTTAGCACAACATCTCTCAGCACTCTTGTCCCACAACTGACTTTGAGGAGCTACCGAAGCTTCCTCGCCTGCACCAGCATCACCATCCGTCAGCTCCTCACCTTGTCAGACATGAGGGTTGAGATTGAGCGGCCAATTTCATGGTAGTCCATGTTGGCCTGGCTCGGTCCCAGCAGCACAAAGATGAATCTGACAGGAATTGGGACCTCCAAGACAGATTCCAGGAAGACGGCCTCATTTAGTCGGACAAAGGCCATAGTTGGCTGCTCCAGGAACTGCACACAACCTACCAGGAGGCAATGTTTTGAGCAGAGTTAATCATCGGGCTGAGCTGTACCGGGCTGCCTTTGACAGTGGAAACAGTGATTTTGGGGGTTCACACGAGCCCTGCAGTCATGCACTTGCCTCCAGACCACTGACACAGCAATGAGCTTCATGCTGAGGACTGTTCCAAGTTCCCTGTTCACTGATCATTCCCAAGCAGTGCTACTTTCTTTAGCTCTTCCAGTTAGCCCGTTCTTAATCTCTTACAGATGGGCTCTACTTACACTATAAAGGGGCTAATTTTAAATCAGAAGGTTATTTTCCACTAAGCCACAGCCTTACGGAAGGAAGTCTCTTACATGTTACTTTTATCAAACTTCTAATCTTGTCAAAGTATGAAATCAGGTTTGCTTGACATGACCTATTTCCCATAAACCTCACTGCCTGGCAATAATTAGTCTTATCCTTTAGCTCTTTTTTAATAGAATCCCATATTAGCTATGCCATTATGTTGGCCAGGAAGGATGTCAGGTTAAACAACCTATAGATACTGTATCGCTGTCCTTTCGTTCTTGATCACTGATGCTATGAACATTCTTCTGTTTTTCTCATACATTCCCTGTATTCCTAGACTTATTTTTTTTCAGATGGAAATAAGCCCGTTCTCTAAAGACTCATAGATGCAAACTGCACAGTTTGTTTTACAATGTCCGCATGTCATCAATGCTTGGCAGTCTCCTCAGTTCCTGACAGATTGGGAAGTACTCCTGCATCCTCCGGCACACCAGCCGCTTCCTTCCCATACTGAACACAAATGTTTATTGAATACTTGTATTTCTCTGGCGTTATTACTAATCTTTCTGCCATCTGCGTCCAGCAAAGAGCTGTGTTCTGTGTTAGACTGGCAAATCTGGACATGCGAGTGGCCAAGCAAATCCCAAGACATGGCCTCAGAAATGGCCAGTGTTTAGTTACCTGAGTATTCAAAGTGCATTTATGAAGCCGATTTGGACTCATCGTTGTTAAGCATCAGGTTGGTTGAGCTGCCAAGCCTCTTTGCCTGAGCTTTTCATCTACTGGATAGGCAATGACATTTACTTTGCTTGTAGCATAGCTATGTTTGCTGGGATGTTAATGCCAGCAAAGTGCTGAGAAGGACTACTCTCGTGGTCAGAAGACACCAAGCCCACTGATGCTTGAGCCTGCCCGCCCAGAGCCCTCTGGTACAGAGAAATATCTCCTGGCAGCACTATGGCAAATACCCGAGACCCTGCCACCAGCCAGGCCCTGCTTCCCTAAACTCAAAGCTCCTTGGCACCCACAGCCAGCAACCAACACTGACCAGGTCTGCGAGGTGTAAAGAGGCCAGACAGAAGGCAGTGATGGTCAGAACAAGGCCCAATAGCAGTCAGTGCCTGGCCATCAGTCCCTTGGGCACAACTTACACACTTCCGAGCATCCCATCTGAAAATGGGATGTTCTGGTGAGCCTGGTGGGACTTTCTCCTCTAAGATGGGCCCCAGCTCCCAGCAACAGTGTCTATCAATCCCTTAATTTAGGAAAGGAACTACCCAGGCACCCCTTACATTTATCACAGACAAACAAAACATGCGCTCACACCAAAGGAGTGTACAAGGCTCCCTCGCCAGCTGAACTTTGGGAACATGTACCAGACATCCAAATACCCCTCAGGCGGGAGGGCACAGACAGCTGGGGCCAGACCAGGATCTGAACTGGTCTCTTTTGGCACACGGGCACTCTACATGCCACCTCTTACCCACAAGGACCACTGTGGCCTCTGCGTCTTCAGGAATCTTCTCCATCAGCTTCAGGTATTTACGGTGGCCCTCAGAGTTATGGAGATGTGGATTTTTCTGCCAGGGAAGAATACAAACAAGTAGGGACAGAGTTCCCATGCCTTGGTCTCCCTACACAACCTTGCACCCCACTGGCATATCTGCAGCTGGACTTGCCTTGGCTGTATGCTCAACACCCTGCTTCATGAGCAGGGAACCCTCACAGCGACAGGCCACCCTGCAAGCCCCAGGGCCGTTGCTGCCATTGCATGCTCAAGCAGACACCTGCATACAGCGTGAGGCTAAAATTAGGTCCCAAAATCATAACGCAGCGACCTCATTTCCAGTGCTCCAGGTGATCTGGAGGAGCTCAGCCCTCGCAAGTACAAGGACCCCTATGAAGGAGCCCAGAGATGGGTGACAAGGATTGCCACCAGCCAATGGGTGCCTGCCGGGTGTGGAAAAAGGAGTGGTAACCCACCATGTCACCCTCACCTCCTTGCACTCGGTCTCATGAGCCTTGGGGTCGGCCATTTCGATGCGTTCTTCTCCCATGAGGGGCACGCAGGTGTCAGTGGTGTGGTTATGGTGGTGGTTCCCCACGATGGAGTTCATGCTGGAGCTGGAGTGGTTCCTCGGGAAGAAGCCCTCCTTCTCGTCATTGGGGTGGCTGAGGGTGAGAGCAGTAGCCATATGGGGACCCACCTCTCTTGCCACCTGGGACTCGCAGATAACCCCTGAGTCTTGGCAGCCCTCAGCCATGTGCCACCCACCTGTGCTTCAGGAGCAGGGCACGCAGCACGTTGGCTCGGTCTTCTGCTCTGATCTGGTCAGAGATGATCATGGTCTCCACCATGAGGTGAGCAATGCCAGGCAGAGTGGTCTGCTCCAGGTCAAGGAGGACGGCACCTGCCAGCAGGAGGGGAAGAGCCCTGCTCCTAGTGTGCAGCACTCCCCACTGCACGCACGCTCTGGGGACACAGTTGTCCCACCAGGAGCCAGGCTTTGGTTGGGGTACAGATTCTCTCAGCTGAGAAATGCCTCAAGTCCAGGTGTCCCATGTCCTCTGTATAAACCCTTGTCCCAAGAGAACCCAAAAGCTCCAAGAGGCACTGGTAGCTCTGGTACCTCCCTCATTTTGGTCTCCCACCCTGACCAGACTTGTCTTTTCAGACCAAAGATGGGTCCAAGACCTGCCGGCCCTGGCACAATTGGGTGTCGCAGCTGCCACGTGTCTGAAAGCAGCAAAGCAGAGCAAAGAACTAACACAGGCACCCTTGGGCTAATGCAAACCCTGGCAAATGGGCTGCAGGATGGTCTGTCTCTGCAGACCCTATATAAAGCCTGGACACAGACACTGTTGGAGTGTCTCCAGCGAGGAGCTAAATAGCAACAAAAGCTGTCCAGCAAAACCTGTCCCAGAGCAAGACACAAACCCTCACCCACCGTTCCTGACTCACCGTGGGCAATTGTCTTCCTGAGCTCCAGCAGGCTGCGGAAGGACAGTGAAGCCACATGGGGTTTCCCCCACCTTGCTGTGTCCTCCTCCACATTCTCCTCAAACTTGATCCAGCGGGCCGTCTCCCTCCAGTGCATTTCCTGGTTCTTATCCACCACCAGCTCATTCAGTTCCACAAACACCTAGTGCAAATTACAGTGAGGACATGAGACTTCCCCTGATGCATACAGCTCTATCAACAATACATGGAAAGCCTCAGGTTTGTTCTCAAGGTGCCACTTGGTCTAAAGCACTGTCTGAGCAAACCTGCATTACTTAACCAGAGATTTGGTGAACAGAAGCAGCCAGGACAAATATCACTGGCAGCATGGCAGGAGCTTCCATCAGCATATGGAGCACCACAAAGCTCCAAGTCAGACGGCGTGGGCAGAGGAGAGAGAATGATGCAATCCCACACCCCTCTACCAAACTGTGACAATTTTGTCCTCTGCCTGCTTCTTGTTTTCCCCCAAAATTTCCCACACCTACCAGAGACGCTGACATTATGGCGCTGCCAACTTCCACAACAGCACTACCATTTCTGTGACTTGTTAATGTCTTTCCTAAGGTCAAAGCTTTGTGATTTCAGAGAAATCTCTGCTTTTATTGAAAAAAGTGTATTTTCAGCCCTCATGATAATGGGTAAGAGCTTGAAATGTCACACCCAAGGTCATGTAAAGAATTAATTAAATTGAAACCACATTTATCACTTTATAAAGGGCCTGTTTCTAGTCCTGATCTATGGCTTCCGAACAAGTGTGGGAGGACAGCACATGGATACCTCATGGGGCTTTCTATCCAACTTCTTCTTCTTCTTCTTCTTCTTGACAGATGGAGTTGATGCTAATTTTTTGCTCGTCCTGGTGATCTGACTCCGAGATGGTTTCTTCATCAGATGCCTCCTCACACCAGGGTTATCTTCAAAGCGGTGGCCTGAAGACATGGGAAAGGAAAAAAAACTACCAGTTTGTCTAGTGGAAACACACTGGCAGGGAAACATCCAAGCCCACCCTTCTCTTGTTATCTTATGCTAGCAAAGCCCTGGCAGCTGGAGCACTCACCATCATCCTCCAGACCTTTGAAGATCCTTCCTGCCTCATATGCCTACTTTCAGCTCTTCCAGATGTCTGTGAGCTAATTCCTTCAAGAAGAAGGCTTCCTCCCAGGCTGTGCATATACTGGAGCATCATTGCAAAAGCTTTTATTCATGGTACCCGAATAAGCGGTGCATGAACCCTCCCCATACTCCCTCAGAGAAAAGCAACCTGAAGCCTTGTCTGCACAGCTCTGCACCCAGACAGCACAGGCAGGCACCTGGCTGGGGCTCATTCCTCCCACTCGAGGCAGGCCTGGTGCTCAGCAAGCATAAAGGGCAGTGAAGGGGAAGAGGATATTTAGCTGCTGGTCTGGGAGACACATGGAAATATCAATGACTGTTTTATTTAATTGTGCGATGAGACTGTAGGATAACAGTGCAGACCGGGGCTGGCATGGAGGCTGGGTGGTTAAGTCCAGCTATCGCTGTTTCTAGATGATCCACAGTGCCACTGTAATGCCCTCTGAAAGTCTGCGTTAACAGAGTTCGGCTGGCTGAAAGCCTTCTGAAGCCTCCAGAGAGGCTGCTGAGGCTGCATTACAGACCACCAAGCTACCAGTGCTGCTGGCTAGCCAGCAGCCACCAAAACCTGGCCACAGTCATTCCAGCCCCTTTTGCAATGCCAGAAAAACAGCACCCAAGCAACAGCCTGCCATGGAAAGTACCTTCTCTGGACACTACCCAGAGACAGCAGGTGTATCTTCTTCAGCACAGACAGCCCATAGGGATGGGAAAAGCCTCAGGGCCCAGCTCCAGGATGGACAGGCTCCCCCAGGTAGTCAGCGGTTTTGCTCAGCTTCAGTCCATGGAGGCTTGCGGGCCCTGCTTGTAAGGCAAAGCCAAGGTCTTCTCCCTGGGTGACCAAGGGCAGCTCTCCATTGGCTGGGATGAACGTTCAGGCTCCACGTACTTTTCTGCACATGGCTTCAAGACCTGCAGCTCTCAGGGCATGAGAAGTAGCAAACAGCATTGAGCTTGAAGGCCAAGTGGTCCCTCTGACGTTGCAGGAAAATATCCATGCATCTCTGGCATGGAAAGACACAGCCCAGCATCAGGCCAGGCATACCATGGCCTTGCTCCTTGGAAATCTGGGTCGCTAAATTAAATATAAAATGAATCAATACTGAGCCTCAGGGCATTTTCCCCCATTGGCTGCTCTGCTGATGCACATCCCGCTGATGGCCGGACTCCTCCCTGCTCCACTTACTGCGCTGCTATGTCGATCGGGGCCGATAACTGCCCACCGCTGTGAGTGTTACTGGGAGCCGTGCATGTCTGGGGCTTCCTCGGACTTTTGTGTGGATTTCTTAATTCCCGCGTGCACGGCAGCCACTTCATTGCACTCAGTGTGGATTCGTGCACAAAACAGAGAGGTCACCAGGCAGATGGATCTTGGTATCTGGCACCTTTGCTCCAACCCTGCAGCTTCCAATTCTCCCACGCACCCTGGGACTCATTCTGACTGTGTCCCTGGAAGACCAGGGCCAGCAGATGCCCTGCCCAGCGAGACAGAGCGCATACCCAGAGCACAGCAAGCCTCGCCCGGGGCGATGCCCGCCTGCCACGCAGTGCTCTGCAGTGACAGCCCCTGAAAGCACACACAGGCGTTCAGCCTCAGCCACCAAATGGCTGGAGGTCAGCTAAAACAAAAGGAGCCAAGTTTCTTGCCAGCATCTCCAGTGACTCCCACACTCTCTGACAGGGACAAGAGCTGGAGTGCTGCAGGCTCAGAGTGAGCCGCTGAAGGCATACCTTCCAGAGCCCTACAGAAGAAAGGCGCGATCCACTTGCTGCTCTCCCTTGGTAGTGCTTGTGGTCACTGAGATGCCAGCTGGCAAAGACAATTCACAGGAGCAGGTGAACGCATGGGCTTAATTTTGGAAGAGGCCCCTGGCTTTGGGAGTCCCATGCAGAGCCCAGCTGAGGTGCTCCAGGCTGTTCTACAGAGAGCCTTTCTGTGTCCTGTCAGATTGGCGCTTCCTCCAAATGAAAGTCAGGCTCAGGTGAGCACCTTGAAGTCCAGGGTCCTTACTTGGGTCGGGATCTTGGACCAAGATGGTGACATGCCCAGAGTATAGCTTGAAGCCAGACTCCCCAGGGTGAGATGAAGCAGCCAAGGACAGTTCTTGCTGTACCTTCTCTCCAGCGCTCCCCAGGAGCAGAGCATGAGACAGCAACAATGTCTGAGGATAAAGCATGATTCCTATGATGGCTCCACTACAACAAACTGGTATGTCACCCTCCCACATAGGATCTCCTACAGTCTCCTCCAGAAGATCTTCTTGCCATGTTGGCTTCCATCAGTCAGATTCCTTGGGATGACCAAGTTCCTTTTCTGCCAGCTTAAATCTGAAGATGATAAATACAACTTTACGCTGATTAAAGTCTTCCCCCAGAGTGCCTGTGCTAGTCAGTCCAACTCAGTGGGCGACTGCCTTCAAATCGTGTGTTAGCTCCTGCTTCCCTCCTTTCATTGCCCTCTGTCCACAAGCAGGAAGCCCAGAAAGAGGCATCAGAGTAGTTGTACCAGTACTAGAGAGCAACTTGCCAGCCTGGCATCACAGGGATGGTGCACACTTCCTGTGCACCTCAGTGGTTAAGTTATAGCAAGGAAAAAGAGACTGAAATCCCATCTCTGGGAATATTCCAAATTAGACTAAACAAAATGCTAATCAACATACAGTAAGTCACAACCCTGTGTTGGCTTCTGGAAAAAGCTACTGCCCTGCCCTGCGCACAGCCCAAGTCTCTCCTAGCTGATGCTGAGTTCAGTGGAATAGGGCCAGCTAGATCCTCGCAGCTGCCACCCAGGTGTCCCTGCACAGCACTCCCCATGCTCTGAACACTGAAAGGAGAGCAAGGAGACCAGCACAGGTCCAACAAGGACTCTGCTCAAAAGCTATTAAATTCCTCCTGGATCTGAGTTGGTCCTGAAAGAGGTACTGCCATGTAGTAAGTTGCTGAGCAAGTGGCACTGGCTGGGTGTGAGCTGGCTCTGCACAGAACTGACTCTGGTGTCTCTGCCATCTCTGCCTCCACCATATCTCTCTGCAGGATTAATCCACAGTGTGGATTCACTGAGCAGAAACAATTAAGAGTTGACTGTACAGCACATCCTATTTCAAGCACCTGCAGTATTAGCTGTAGCAATCAATGAATGTGTTAACTGCTAGAAAGCCAAATTTCCCCACTTTATAAGTGATGCATATCACACTTCGCAGAAGTGATCTGCCCCTTCTACCTTCCCAAGAATAGCCATCCTTTTCTGGGTGGACCTGGGGCAGTTTCTCACACTTTTAACATACAGTTTGCTCAGCTTGGGACAGCTGATGGAGCAAATTTGCTCCAGGTTTCTATTTTGAACTTTGCTGCTATTATACCATCTATCAATTTACAGTAACAAGTAGCAGACCCAGCCAGAAGCAAATCCCCACTTGCTGGTTCCTGCAGAAGCAAGTATGCAGACATTTCTTCCCTGAAGGCTTGTAAAGATGGGCCAGCTGAGAAAGAGAACATGATGCTGGGACTGGGAGGCAGAGGATGCTACGTGTTTCGTCTGAGATCACACAGAGAGGCTGTGGCAGAGCCAGAAGCTGAACCAAGGCATCCCAAGTCCCTGTTGCAAGCACTCTGTATCCCCACTCCTGCGTATAAAGCCGGTAAGCAGATGAGTTCTGGGGCCACAACACCCTCCTGTGTGCACTCCTAAAATCCCTTGAAAAATTAGACCATGATCCGGACAAGGACATCTGGGCAGCTGCCATGGGGTTACAGTTATGAACAGCGTCACGACCAAGGTGACACACCAAGCCACGTCTTAATGGTGAGTTACCACCATCTGCCAAGGACGGGCCGCCTGCGCGAGGTGGGAGCGAGCCTCCAGTTTCTGCGCAGTCCCTGGGACAGCTCAGAGACCCAGCTCACTGTGAGGGATGCGCAGGTACGGAAACAGATGTGGAGAACAGCAAGATGTTCTTCACTCTCAGGATTCCTATTCTCTCCTTCCCTGCTTTTCCCACTCTCGCTTCCTTCCTCTTTTCCCCCTTCCAGGCACCCTGGCCAGCATGCCGTTAGCTAGTTTCACAGCCACAATCAAGCCTGCAGACATAGGGACTAGGTTATTTTTTCCTCCAGGCATTAGGCTACAGTGCAGAGCTGCGAACCTGATACCCACCGCTGCTGTTAGACCCACAGCTAGGCTCAAATTCCAGCAAAGAGAGAGCAGCCGCACACTGTCACCTTGTGCTACAGATGGAAGGGGAAATGTCTCTGTCCTTACACACACCTCGGAGCAGCTGCTTTGTCTCTGGCCATGGCATGGGCCACATCCTGATAAGCACAAACAGCAATATGCAGCTGCCTCCAGAGCTGCTCAAGTGAGACACACGCAAGGAAGCACCTCAGCACTATGGCATAGATAGGAACAAGGACTTTGGACAGACACACAGACAGCAGGCAGTTTCTCCGGCATCCCCGGGCACATGGTGGGGCAGATCGTACCACCTCTAACCCAGGAGACCAACGTGACACAGAGAGGGTGCAGACAGCAAACACAGGATGGGGGGCACACACTTTAGCTGGGGGCTCAGATCTACAGCTGCAACCGTGGGGTCAGTGCTCTGGTACTTACAGATGGGCTCCCCGCTTGGGTAGCCCAGATGGTTTCTGATGGCCTCCCATAAATCATAGTCTTCAAAATTGAAGGCAAATTCATCAAAGTCTTCATAGCCGAGTGAGTTGCGAATGCGAGTGCTTATCGCTACCTCCGGGCTGCTGCCCCCTTCCGATTCCTTCGCTGTGTCCTCTCTCTCTCGAAGGGTTGTCATTTTGTCCTTGCGAAGGTCAGGGGTCAGGTGCCATGAGCCACTCACCTTCAGGGGAGGGTCCGGGGTAGCCAGGTTGACGTGCAGAAAGCAAGCTGCCCCTGGGGGGGGGCTTCACCGCAGTCCCAGGACCAGCCTCGGTGCCTCACTCCCCTCCTCACAGGGCATGAAGATGCCGGCTGCAGCAGCCTCTGGGGACTGACGAGGTCCCAGGAAGGCTGGCTCCACCCAGGGATGCTTCCGTGGGGGGCTGCCCCACCAGCTCCTCAGGAGCAGGGTCCTCAAATCTGCCACGGGGTCTTGTGCCGGCTGCCCAGGGACACGGTGCCCGTGGCCCGGGGACAGCCAGGCTGTGTGTGCAGCACCGCTTCTCTCCCTCGCTCCCCTCTGGTGTCTCCCTCCCTCTCCAGGCTGCAGAGCAACCTATTGAATTCTCCATGTCCTCGGGCCTGGAGCGTGCATTTCCATGACGTCTCTGCTCTCTGCCCTCGCGAGGCAGGCAGGGGCAGTCCCCTCCGAGGCGCTCCGGAGGGGGCAGCTGCCTCTCCGCCAGGAGAGCAGAGGAGAGGGGAAGCTCCTCACCTCAGGTTTTCTGCGATGCCAGAGCTGGCGTGTCGCACTGAGGGCTGATTGCTGGGAAAGTGTGTCAGGAGAGGAGAGAGCTGGGTCTCAGGGAAATGCAGGGAGCCCTGACCCAGAGAAGGCAGTGGGGAGGGTGGAGGAGCAAGCATCCATGGGGCGGGTGTGAGCAGAGGTGCTGGAAACATGGGGACCTGCGCTGTGGACATTGCAAAGCTGACAGAGAGGAGCCAGGGCTGGAACAGCAGGGGCTGGGGGACAGGGAGGTGAGGATTAGGTCCTGCAGCAGGCTGAAGACCATGCCTGGAGCTGCTAGGGAAGACAGCAAAGCAGGGAGAGGCAAGGGACACATCCATGGGGCGGGTGTGAGCAGAGGTGCTGGAAACATGGGGACCTGCGCTGTGGACATTGCAAAGCTGACAGAGAGGAGCCAGGGCTGGAACAGCAGGGGCTGGGGGACAGGGAGGTGAGGATTAGGTCCTGCAGCAGGCTGAAGACCATGCCTGGAGCTGCTAGGGAAGACAGCAAAGCAGGGAGAGGCAAGGGACACGTGCACTAGCAGGGTGGGTAGCGTCGCAAAGCCTCACTTTTCATGCCGTCCAAGTCAGCCGACGCCAGCATCTGGGCCTCAGCCTCGTCCGTGGGGACACGCTGGTACGCCGCGCTCTCCAGCGTGGTCATGCTGCCGATGCACATCCTCTCCTTCAAGTCATAGGTAACCCGCTGTCCGCTTGCCACCTGGCCCCAGGGCTTGCGCTTCTCCCACCCGCGAGACAGACGTTCCCGAGGCCCAGGGAGGCTGTAGGAACCGAAGAGAGCGGCACTAGCAAACAGGGTGAATGAGGATGGGCACTGGCCCCTCCCTCGGCCCAGCCCTGAACAAGTCTCTGAGAAGGAGCAGAGCCAGGAGTCACCTGTCCCAACACCCACAGATTGCCCCTTCCGCTCCTCCTCTCCCCCCCCGCAGAGTGGGATCAGCCTCTGGTCCGTGTTGGGGACCCACCTCTGAGCCAATGGCCTCACGGTGCCCTGACTGGGCCGAGCCTCCCGGGGCCTCCCAGCCTGCAGGTCAGCACGACAGCACAAGTTACCTGGGAGGGAGGGTACTCCCCGTGTGCAGCCCAGTGCCCCAGATCCACACCCTGGGGATCCCGTGTCCCGAAGGAGGTCACAGAGTCCCAGGGAGTGACTGTCCCCCCGGGGAGCGCCTCTGGGGAGCCTCTCCGGGCCCCACATCCCCTCTGGCTCAGCTGGTGAATTCAGGCCGGGCACAGCCGCCGCCCCGGGGACAGGGTCTGTGCAGCGATCCCGAGCTGGGGAGAGCGGCAGGCGGCTCGGCACCGCTCACCTACCTGCGGAGGGAGGCAGGACCCTTGTCCTGCAGCAGGTCGGCGAAGTGTGGCATGGGAGACAGGATGCCACACTCCTCCTCCACGTGGAACTGTGCGGGGGGCAGAGCGCTGCCGGACTCCTCCTCATCGCTGCCGATGGTGAACTGCAGAGACGACGACAGTCCTAACAGCAAGAGCTGGGACAGGCAGCCTTCACTCCGATCTCCGGCACACAGATCCTCCCCATGTCCCCACCTCCTAGAATGGGCCACAGGGTCTTCCCCCACGTGCCCCACACCCTAGGGCTGGCCATATTAAGCCTCCCCATATCCTATACAACCTAAGAACAGCTACATTGATCTTCCCCCATATGTCTTACACAGCAAAATGGTCATGCACACCCTCCCCAGCATCCACCCATGGGCAATGGCTTATCGGTCACCGTCCGCCAGCTTCCGTCTCTGCTAGGCAGGGACAAAACCACTCTTCCCACAATATTGCACAGCTACAACCTCTTTCCCAAGCACTCCCTTGACCACACACTCTGGCACCTTCCCAGCATCAGCCCTCCCTCCACCTCCTCCCAGCCTCCCAGCCTCATCCAGGTAGGGATGCTCTAGCCTTGCCTTTGGTTTGCGTGGGGGCTCCAGCTTAAGGGATGTGTCCTTCCCAAGAGCTTCGCCCTCAGACTCTGCAGAGATCTCTTTCTCCTGGGCCTCTTCTGCCTCAGACTCTCCTTCTTCCTCTTCTTCCTCTTCTTCTTCTTCTTCCTCCTCTTCTCCCCCCTCCTCGTCCTCTTCCTGGATGGTGGGGGTGACCTCTGAGGGGGGTACTGAGGTTTTTTTCTTTTTCCTCCTCCTTTTTTTCCTCCTGCTGGCACGGGGGGGCCTCTTTTGGAACTTGAGGGCAGAAGGGAGGTGAGTGGAAAGGGGGTGATGGATGTGGTGCGAGGTTTGACGGTGGACTGAGAGAGAAAAAGAGAGTCAGGGGCAGGAAGAGGCTGGGAGGAACCTGCCAGGCGCCCCTCCAGGAAACAGCATGGTCTGGAGATCAAGGGCCAGGAAGGGCAAGGAGAGCCACCAGCCCACAGGGACACAGCAAAGCTCTTTCAGTGATGCGGCAGGCTGTGTCCAGCCTGGGGTGGCTGGGGAGGCAGCCCCCATGCAGTGCCACACCACCCCAACGCAGCTCCACTGTCCTGGGGAAGGCAGGACTCCTCTCCCAGTGTTGCCAAAAGCCATTCGCACGGCTATGCAGAGCTGCGGGGGCCTGCCAGAGGCACCAGCCCCTTCCTAAACATGGGGAAACGTTTCTCACATTCTCAAACAAGCATGATTTGGACCCTTCACAAAAACTTCTTTCCTGCACAGTGTTCTTTGAGTTAAATAGATGTGCCTTATTTGTCCCCCAGGCTTTGACAGAAAGTCCCTCCTGCATACCCACGGCAACCACAGACCAAGCCTTTTAGTGCAGATGCAACCTACGTCCACATCCCAGGTACTGTGAGGGCTTGTGCCTACTAGCCTCTGAAATGCAGGTTCAGTTAGGAGGCTGTCTTTTAAAAACCAGGGTAAAAAACAGGGCAGAAGGACCTTTCTTTAAACTAATCTACAAAGAGAAATTCATACAGGCTTGACCTGGGTACCGTGGGAATTATCAAGTGAGAAGGAATTAATGGCATTTCTGATGCTTCACTCAAAAACAATGATAATGCACCAGGCAGAGAACAGGGTAAGCTCAGCACCTCCCTGCAAGAGAGAGGAAAGCCATTTCTGCCAAGTCCATCTGCAGGCACAAAGCCTGCCATAGACAGTCCTGCAGGATGCACAGATCCTGGGGCTGCACCCGGAGCAGCTTGAAATCACGGGGGCACCAGCCGCTTTGCAAGGGGGCTTTGCTCAGCAGCTCTTCCTGAGGAATTGTTTCCAGTCTGTTTTGATTTGGTTCCTTCCCAGCTTTCCTGTGACATGGCAGCAAAATCTGTTTATAGTGAAAACTACCTTCAAAGGACATTTTCAATGGAAGCTGTAACCTTCTCCCTGGGAGAGCCAGGCAGGTTCATTGTTCTGCTGTCATGTTTCCTTTCCTTTGGTTTCTCAAGTCTTTTCTCCCTTGTTTCCCCCCTTGGGAACAGCAGGGATATTTCACACACACCCCTGGTTCAAAAAAAGGCTTGTGGCAAGATTAGAGGAGATGGCGAATGGTCAGACATCTGCAAACTGGAATGAGTTTGTGCCCTATTTATACACACTTTTTCCTCCAAACTGTTCTCTAGTTCTTTGACTTCACTAGACGGACCCTATTTCACTCACAGGTTTTGGCAGAAAGGCCCTCCTGCCCTGCTGCTACACTCCCGTAGCACTGCTCTGCACAAAATCACAGAATGGTTTGGGTTGGAAGGGACCTAAAAGATCATCCAGTTCCAACCTCCCTGCCATAAGCAGGGACACCTTCCACAAGACCAGGTTGCTCAAACCCCATCCAGCCTGGCCATCCACATGCCACAGATAGGTCAGGCATAAATTTCTCATGCAAGAAGAAGCAAGCAAGGCCCCAACTGTACACTCGCTGCTCCTTCTACAGCACAAAGCTGCTGCTGAGGACATAGCCCATCTTTCCCTTCTGGCTTGTTCACATCAGCCCAAGACAGAAACATTTACATTTTGAATCAGAAGGAAACTGAAGCCTTGGGCTGCAGGGAAGGGCAGGGATGGTAAGTGGCTCATCTGGCACAGAAAAGGGTAGCACTGCTTTTCACCCCTGCACTCAGCGCTCCTTGTGTCAACTGATCATGCCTCCACAAAGGTAGCCTAGAGGTGGGAAAAACATACCTCCCCAAACACAAACGGCTGGATGCCTCTCTCTTCTTCCTCCCTGCCCTCCTGCAACTCCTGTGTGCCCAGCCCCTACCCTCCTTCCCTGCTCCCTTCCTTGCACTGTCTGCCTGCATGGAAAGTTATTGCCAAACCAGTGTCCTAGATGTTTGATTACACTTCTCAGTGAACTTGATACAAGAGATATGTAAAAGTAATTTTGATAGGAAGCCCAGAAGGAACAGCCTACATATTAGGAATTCCTGGCTTTGAATAGGGCAGGAAACATTTCTAAACCCAGAGAGCATTCACCTCCATGGGCATGTATGTTATCTTTCAAAGACTAATGACCTAACCAGATCTTAAAGCTTTATGAATACGAACTGCATAAAACTTCTAATAACCAGGGTTGACGTAGTCCTAGGTAACAGGGAAACATCAGGAGCTCAGAGGAAAACAAGCTTGATTCTGACAAAGAAAAAAGGACTCTCCTATTAAGAACAAAAACCCCAAACAGTACAAAACTCTAGTCCAATTTTCAAAGAAGCTTCTGCCATGCATGCTCAAGCAGATTGTCTGTGTCCTCCAAGCCAACCCACACACCTGTGCACACAGGCAGAGCTTCTGAGCAGGTAAGTCCTACCAGCACAAGGACAGGTATTCAACCCACAGCAAAGCTATTAGCACCTTGCAGCCATGTGTGCGAGTGACTGTGTGCTCAGGTGGAAAGTGGAGCCTCTGTAGAGAAATGACACAAGCAGAAGGCAGCAGCTGGGGTGCACTACAGTAATAGACTTTTACCAGCAAAATTTTGTAACAGCCATTGGAAATGAGTGGCCAAGCAGAAAACAGCCCAGTGAGGTACTTGGAACATAACGTTCCCAAGGTCGTAACCCACCAAATCTAAGTTAGAAAATAAGCACTATCTGACTGTGGAAAGCCAGAGAGTGGGAAACTCTCTCAACCATTGCTACTTGTCTGCCACACAAGCAGGCTGCTGGCCCGGGGCCTCTTCTTCCTGCCTTTCACTGCTGTCACTAAAAGCTAATGCAACCCACCTACACCTGGCAGTAGCTTATGGCCACTCTTGTGGGCATACTCTCATTTTACAGCCAAAGTGAGTTTGGGCACACTGGTTGACTTCATCATGGAAAGGCAGTTAGAGGAATAAATATGCTGATCAGAGGAGTTCAGGTGAGATAGCTATAGCATTCCAAATTCACACCCCATTTTTATTTTGCAGTCCTTTGAGCAGATAAGCCTCATGGTTTCATGGTTGCTATTTAGAAATACACAGGCATGTCTGACTGGAGCCATCTGCTTTCAGACTGGGGAGGACAGCCTGGCTTCTGGCCATATTTGGATGTTTCTTTGCAGCCATATGGAAGAAAAATAGTTTCAAACTGGCAATTTCAATGTGGGGGAAGTGGCTGCAGAGGTCCCTGATGCTGGATGAGATGAGCAAACACCCGAGGCAGAGCCACGCTGTCGCATGGGCTGGGCAGTGGCTACACCGCCAGGGACAGGGAAAAAGGGAACAGACTGGGAAGAAGCCGTGGGCATTGGTGCTACACAAGATGTACGTAGCACTTTAGGAACGCTCTGAAGGGAGGAAGTGAGTAGCAGGCTAACACAATCTGCAGAGTCCTGGCACAAGGCTGCAGAGCACGTGGGACTGAGCGAGGGTTGGTGGCGAGGGTGAAGTGGGTACAATGGTTCAAACCTACATACATTCAAAATCTCTCTCACTGTAGCTGCGTCTTTGCTTCTCCAGATTGCTTGATGCTGACTTGCTTATCAGGTCCCCAAATCTCTCGATTGACAAAGTCTTATCCAAGTCCTCATCGTCCTCGGCACCAGGAGAGGCTTTCTCTGCGTGATCTCTGCCCTGCACAGAAATCGCCAGACAAGAATCAAGCAGTGCAGACCTCCGCAGCCCTCTGGATCCTCTGCCCCGCACACAGTGCTGGGCTTGCTGAGGGGCAGCAGGCTCCACACGACAGGGCTGGGCCATAGTTTCTCACTCACAGGCACAGCTCTGCTCAAAACCAAGAGCCGGAGCAGGTCAGCAAGCCTCCAAGCCACGCTCTGCAGAGATACCTTAGCAGCCCTCCACACCTCCCTTGAGTGGCAGGTATCAAGGGACCATGTCAGTGCCTGCCCTTCCTACTAGAGGAGATGCGCAGCTTTTGTTCAGCTGGAATTTCTCTCTCCTCACACCTAACTGCTGCCCTCTGGCCTTCCCTTTGCCCAGTCTGCCATCCCTCCCTTTCTTAGACCTCCTCCGTACTTCCCCCTGGGCAGCAGCGTCCCCGCTCGGGTGAGCTGTCCCTGGGTCAGTGATGCCCTGTGCCTTCCCACCTCCCCTCTGCACTCCGAGGGTCCCTCCGCTCCCCTTGGCATGCCTCCTTCAGCCTTTTCTGCCCGGTTTCCTCCTGTTTCAGGCTACGGGCGCTTCTCTGCCTTTTGCTGGTGGAGACTTTCTGAGAAGAGCATCACCAGGTGACTCCTGTCCTTTCTGCCTCCTGAGCAGCTGCAGCTGGTAAAATTTTCCATCAATATTGCCGAAATGCCAGCGCGGAGCTGTTGTGGACTCCCGTGTTTCCATGGAAACAGGAGGAGGCCCAACTGTGACAAATCTGTCTGTGCTGGGCGGAAAGAGGGAGCAAGGCGGCTTTAGCGGAGTTGTGCCTCTCCCCGCATCCCCCAGCTGTTCCCAGCTGTGCCCCGGCAAAGCCGCTGGAGCTCCCACCACGCCACAGCCAGGCTGGGGGCTGGGAGAGCGGCTTTGTATCTGTGGGTGAGCCTGCTCCTCCTCTCACTTTAGCATGGGTGTCCCAAGCCCAGCCTAAATGGGGAGAATGTAATTGCCCAGCTCCTCCTGTCACTTGCCGACCCCACCCAACGGCATGTGAAGGCTCAGGGACCCCACAGAGCAACCTCTGGCCTTTTCTGGACCACAGTTTGCTGCCTGCACGGAGAGTGGATGCGGGCTCCTGGGCAGCCTTGGGTCACCCTTTGTGCAGACCTGTCCCCAGTGAACGGAGGCTACGTCTCCTACTGCAGCAGGCTGCCAGGACGCAGGTCCCGCACACGGCCTGGCAGGAGCGCGGTCCCCGGGGAAGAGACAGCCCCGCTACTGCTGGATTCCCACCTCACCTGCTGCAGGTCGATGAAGACATCTCCTACGGGAGGGGACTCTCCAGCTGCCATTTTGGTTCAGGACCTAAGGGCCTGGGCAAAATATCAACCTTTCTCTTTCACCGGCAGGCACCCAGCAAACCTGGAGAGTGGCATAACCTGTGGAGAGAGGGCAGGACAAGGGAATGTCGTGGGAGACTGCTGGCCTCTGCCCTCAACCCCCCTGGCTCCTAGCCCGAAGACGTCACCTCACCGGCCCTCGGGGAACCTCCCCAGCATCACTAGGACAGGGATGTCCCCCGGCACACTGCAGCGAGGGGGTGAGAACATCTACAACAGTTCAAGGGCAGGTGGGACCCTGTCCTCCTCCAAACAACCTGCTGCGTGGAGGGTGCAGGGGCCAACCGAGACGGCAGCTACGTGAGCCTCTTGCATGGGCTGTGCAAGAGAAGGAAAGGTTTCCTGCTTAGCCGCCCCTGCACCAGCACATCCGTGCAAAGCTGGAGCGTGACTGACCACCAGGGAAGGATGAAGTTGGAGAGATTGGGTGCTGGGAGGACATGCCAGGAGCAGGCAGCAGAGTTGTCCTATGCCACCCAGCTTCCATTGGGCAGAACCCAAAATGGCCAGGAGGAACCTCAGAGAGATCTGTGCGGGCCAGAGAGATGGCATAAGGACAAACAGTTCAGCAAACACCAAACAAAGCAACACATGTTACAGGGGAAGAGGTCAACCTTCAGACTGTGGATCCATGCCCTGTCTGCACCAGTCTGGGTGAGGGACACAGAAGACCCCATGGACAGCTCAAGGGAGCACTTTGCTCAGTACACAGCTGCAAGTGAAGATGACAATGGGGTGCCACCGTTGACAAGGACTGGGATGGAGACTAACACAGAAACAGCTGTACTCATATCATCTACAGCAACAGCACAGGCTGAGGTCAGCATGGGCTGTACCCCAGGAAGAGTTGGAGATGGCACCGAGACTGGCACTGGGAAGATACCAACCTCCAAAAACTCATCTGAACCCATACAGAGAAGGAGAGAAGAAGTAAGCACATGCAAAGTGCTTTGGACACAGGCATAAATAAGCAAAATGTTCTCATCTCACAGCACAAGTAAAGGGACATTCGTTAAAACTACAAGGGTAGAATACAAATGAATTCAAGACTGGCAAAAGAAAACATTTTTTTCAGTGATGTCATCGAGGAGGAAAAAACTGCAAAGTCAGAGGATAGCTTGGCCATCTCTCTGGGTAACAAGTTGTCATATTTATGACAAAGAAAATTAAGAGAAGTTAAACTCATCATTCAGAACAAGCTATTCTTTAGCTATGAAAGCTTTGGAAGAAGTATTATAGATTATATCCCAGTGATCCGCTGAGGGGTTTCATACTATCTCATCTGAAGTACCTAGTATGGGCCACTGTTCAAGACAGGACACTGAAACAGATGGTCTAAAGGTGGCACCAATAAGGCCACTTCATCATCCCTTCTTCTACATTTGAAGATCTCCAGAAGGTGCTACTACAGTCTCTGCTTACTCTGCCTACCTGAAGGCAGACATTTAGCTTATTCAAACCAAAAATCCCAGGACCATCTGTAAGGCAAGTTTTTAAGGAGCTAATCTGACCACTGATGAAGCATGCTCCCTTAGTCCACGCTCCTAATTATCAGGAAGAAGCCAAAACTTGATGGAAGAAACCCCTCAAACACACCTCGTTGGACTCTTCAGTAACTGAATTCCTTGATGAGACCTGAACAGCTCAAGAGAAATATGCTGCCAAGACAGACATCTAAGAAGCAAACGCAGAGTCCAGGCCATAAGGAACAGGACGATAAAGAATGAAAATATGCAATACACTCAGTAGAACTTAAGCTGTAATCTTCAACTTCACATCCTGTTTTCCAAGAAAGATAGAGCAAAAGAGTTCCAAGAGAGAAAGCAGAAAAAAGGAGAAAGGTCTGGAAATCATCTGTAAGCAGAAACCAAGCTGCTTTTAGTAGGAGACGTGATAGAGAAAAGGGTAATACACGGCTTTTATTTCCTTTTGTACTAAGAAGAGGGTATCGTTCCATGAAAGCAAACAGCAACAAATATGAAACTGAAGACAGCAAATGTTTTATTCCAGCAGGCGGGCG